CGCACGTGACAGGCGCGGATACTCACCACTATACTACCGAGGACGTGAATGATTAAGATGCAATTGATTATTTCTTATTGAGATTATTATTATTATTATTATTATTATTATTATTATTATTATTATTATTATTACTATTATTATTATTATTATTACTATTATTATTACTATTATTACTCTTATTATTACTATCATTATTACTATTATTATTACTATTATTGTTACTATTATTATTACTCTTATTATTACTATCATTATTCAACGTGGAATTCCATGCGATCACGTGAAATTCACGATCCTGTCACGTGAATTTTTGAGCCACGTGTACAAATCGATATACTGTGTCCTTGACCTGCAGAATTTTCTCGAAAATTTTCACGAATCGAATTTGGTTCGAACACAACGCATAAACTCCACTTTTTGTAAATTTTTCTCAAATGGAACCTAATTTCAGGTGGTACCATTCAATTTCAGGTTGCTTAAAAATTGTAAAAATTGCAATTTCAGGTTTCGGTGAAGATATTGACTGGGTGAAATGGGAGGATGCCGTCGAGCTGGCCATGGAAAAGGACAAACCAATCTTTTTGCTCATCCATAAATCCTGGTGTCACGCCTGTAAAGGTAGGGAAAAATTTTCCAAAATTTTCCCAAATTTTCCGAATTTTTTCCAGTTTTTATGGCATTTTTCCAATTTTTTTCCACTTTTCCAGCCATTTTCCAGAATTTTTTCAGCTCTCAAGAAAACCTTCCAACAGTCAAACGCCCGCAAAGCGTTCAGCATTTTGTCGCAATACTTTGTGATGGTCAATACAGAGGATGACGAAGAGCCCTATGAAGAGGAGTACCGACCCGACGGCAAATACATTCCACGTCTGCTCTTCCTAGGTCGGTTTTTCAGCGACCTTTTTTTTAATTTCAGGCTTGCGGTAGTGTACTGGGATCAAAGTTGTCTGAAAATTTCAGGTGACCTGAAATGAAATTTCTATTTGCAGACAAGAACGGAGATTTACTACCAGAGTTTGTCAATAAAAAGGCCGAATACAAAAGTTACGCGTACTATTATTCGTCGCCGGCCGATGTGTTGAACTCAATGAAGGACGTACTTAAATTCTACAATATTGAGGTGAGCGACCTGAAATTCTATGGTACTTGGAAAGGGGCGACCTGAAATTCTGTGGTACCAATGGGAGCTTCAAAACGGGATTAGGGGTTAGGGGTATCAGCGGATTTCAACCCCCTTTACTTCCCTCGTCCCCCCAAAAAAATTTTTTTTTAAGTTCAGGCCCTAGAGCTGATCATCCCTCATAATATGGTACCTTAATTTTTTAAAATTTTAATTTCAGGTTCCCGAAATGAAAAAAGGTGAAAAGTTGAGGAGAAGGCCACGTTCGGACGATGAACCAGCAGCCAAAGATGAAAAGAAAGAAAAGAAAGAGACTGCCGAAAAAGGAGAGGAGAAGGCAAGCAAAGAAAAGAAAGACGAGAAAAAAGCCGACGAAAAGAAGGAGAGCAAAGGAAAGAAAGAAGAAAAGAAGCAGAAAAAGAGTGAACTTTAAGTGGAGGGACCAGACGATGAACAGTGGTGCCTTCCGTTGTTTTTTAACACTATTATATTTATGATTGTTGTTCTTTTTGTTTGTTTCGCGTCTAATCTCTCCAAAATTTCCATGTTCTATGAGTAAATTATTGTTTCTTCACTATCTCTAACACACTCTCGAATTTCCACAATATATCAGCTGCCACAATACAACCAACTAAATTTACAGGTTTGGAGGGCTTATACAGGTTGTGGGGAGAGGGGGGGGGGCTATCCCATTCCAAATTCAGGTCAAAAAAATTAAATTTTTTTGACCTGAAATTGTAAAAATATCAAAACACTACGAAGCCTGCGAATACAGTTTATTCCATCCTCTTTATTTCTCTCGTATTCCCTCCAATAAAAAAAATACATCAAAATAAACAACATCATCAAATCAAATGTCACGAAAAAAAATGCCAAATGAACACGGAAAACGATAGAGTACAGGAACAAAAGAGAAGCAGAGATAGAAATACTGGAAAAAAGAGAGAGAAATGGAGCAGATTTTTTCCACATTTCTGCTGATCAATCAATAAACAACTGATCCAAGATCAGCTTCGATAGAGGATCACCATTCAGATCGGGTGATTCAG